AAACAGCGGTCCCACTGAGGAGAAATCAGGCTGCCATGTCTCATCTTCTGGAAAGGGGGTTTTCAGTGCTGGCCTGGGGAACCACGGCACTGCACATTTCGTAGGTCTGTCTTATTCTGCTCACTCAGTTCACTTCATGAGCGCTCTATCCTAACGAGCTGACCGTCAGAATCAGGTGTGCCAAACAAGGGAGATGCAAAAGGTCCCCAGGAGCAGGCCGAAACACCACAGACAGCAGCATAGATGGACTGACACGACAGCAAGCAACAAGAAGACTGCACTTCGCCCGAAAAGGGACTTGAACCCTGGAACCTCAGATTAAAAGTCTGATGCTCTACCGTCTGAGCTATCCGGGCTCTTGCACAATGAATGCCTCTTATGTTTTATACAATTTTCCTACAGACCGCCCAGAAGAAACTCATTTGCCACACACGCTATGGGATGAAAACCGCAAGCAATTATGGCAGAGAGAAAAAAAGGACAAAGGCCTTAAAAGACACAACTGTCTCCACAGAGTGCGGTACAGCAAACTCCAACCGTAGCCGGCAGGGTTCGAACCTGTGTGGGAGATCCCAATGGATTTCAAGTCCATCGCCTTAACCTCTCGGCCACGACTACGTCTGGCTGCGCCCTTCCTGCTCTCTTGTCTGGTGGCGATCAGCAAAGGCCAAGCTTCAAACACAAAATCCAGCTGAAGGATGAGGTAGAAAAAAGGGTTCAGTCATCCCCATTGCTCAACGGCAAAGGGATGCCGTGACCCGGATTCGAACCGGGGTTGCTGCGGCCACAACGCAGAGTACTAACCACTATACTACCACGGCGTGCCGCTGGCTCACCCATTGCGACTACTGCAGACCGAATACAAAAAGCACCAGTGGTGTGTTTCTCCATTTCAGAGGGACTGGACATTTTGCATATCTCTGCGAGGGATATGAAAGAAAAAAGCACAGCCACTTATCCTCCCTGCTGTCAGCGGAGTGCGTAGTCGGCAGGATTTGAACCTGCGCGGGGAGCCCCTATGGATTTCTAGTCCATCGCCTTAACCACTCGGCCATGACTACAGACACAGGTCACTCTCTGCCCTGTTTGTGTGCAACACTGCTGCCTGACCCACTTGCAATCAATAGCCCTAGCTAGCTCAGTCACCAAGCCCCGCAAGCAGATAAAACAGCGGTCCCACTGAGGAGAAATCAGGCTGCCATATCTCATCGTCTGGAATGGGGTTTTTTAATGCTGGCCCTGGGGACCCACGGCACTGCACATTTCGTAGGTCTGCCTTATTCTACTCACTCAGTTCACTTCATGAGCGCTCTTTCCTAACGAGCTGACCGTCAGAATCAGGTGTGCCAAACAAGGGAGATGCACAAGGTCCCCAGGAGCAGGCCAAAACACCACAGACAGCAGCATAGATGGACCGACACGACATCAAGCAACAAGAAGACTGCACTTCGCCCAAACAGGGACTTGAACCCTGGACCCTCAGATTAAAAGTCTGATGCTCTACCGTCTGAGCTATCCGGGCTCTTGCACAGTGCACGTTGCACAGTGCACGTTTTATATAATTTTCCTACAGACCGCCCAGAAGAAACTCATTTGCCACACACGCTATGGGATGAAAACCACAAGGAATTATGGCAGAGAGAAAAAAAGGACAAAGGCCTTAGAAGACACAATTGTCTCCACAGAGTGCGGTACAGCAAACTCCAACCGTAGCCGGCAGGGTTCGAACCTGCGTGGAGAGACCCCAATGGATTTCAAGTCCATCGCCTTAACCTCTCGGCCACGACTACTTCAGGCTGCACCCTTCCTGCTCTCTTGTCTGGTGGCGATCAGCAAAGGCCAAGCTTCAAACACAAAATCCATCTGAAGGATGAGGTGGAAAAAAGGGCTCAGCCATCCCCATTGCTCAACGGCAAAGGGATGCCGTGACCCGGATTCGAACCGGGGTTGCTGCTGCCACAGCGCAGAGTACTAACCACTATACGATCACGGCGTGCCGCTGGCTCACCCGTGGCGACTACTGCAGACTGAATACAAAAAGCACCAGTGGTGTGTTTCTCCATTTCAGAGGGACTGGACATTTTGCATATCTCTGCAAGGGATATGAAAGAAAAAAAGCACAGCCACTTATCCTCACTGCTGTCAGCGGAGTGCGTAGCCGGCAGGATTTGAACCTGCAATAGATTTCTAGTCCATCGCCTTAA